AATTCTGTGGTACCATTTAACAATAATATTATGTTGCAAAGCAAAATTACTTCGACGTTGCGTCGGTGGCACAGTGCTTAGGACTCTCGCCGACCATGCACATGGTCCGGGGTTCGAACTCCTACCGACGCACACCCGATATCTATGGTCGGCCTGCAAAATTTGGGCTACCGATATCCATGCTGAAAATGTCATACTTGTACTGAAAATACGGTGTGGCATCAAGCTGTAATCAAAATTTAAAAATTTAAAAAAATTAAATTAAATTATGCAGCTACACAGATCCAATGCTCTCTCAAATACAAAACAAGTACTATACAACAAGATTGTTCAACCGAAATCAGCTATATGAAGTATCTGAGACTCAAGAATAATATTCTCAACAAGATAGAATCAAAAGTTTGTTAGCAAGAGTCACACAATAAGTCATAAGATGTTATGAACAGAACAAACATTTGTGAGTAGAATTTGGGCACTGTGATAGTGTTGCGTGCGCAAACGTGGGGGACATGAAAAGAAGATAGAGAAACAAAATACGAAGGGTAGAAATAGCAAAACACAGAGGATCTGTGCAAATGACGATTTGCAAATAAGGTGTACATAATTTCGCTGTATAGAGATACTAAATTCCAGATAAACATTCTTTTATCAAGATTCTTGTCTTCTACCGTTATAACAGAATTTAATTCAGTACAATATAGTTTTGCTAATAACTGAATGTCGTTTCGACTACAATTTATTGCCCATAATCATAAGAATATCAGTACTGTGTATTGAGTAAACTTGTTTAATATGAAACTGACTGAACATTAAGCTTAGAGTAGTCTAAATCTCGGCATATATATATGTATATATATATATATATATATGTATCAGTAGGAGGTAAAATCATTTCACCAGCAAAAACACCCCCGAAGAAGATTAAAATTATTTCAAATTAGTTTTTATTAAATCTACCATTTTTTAAATTTCAACTAGCTCATTTTTTGTTTCGTGAATTGTAATCACTGTCAAGCGATGAACTTCAGTTCTAACTAGTCTGTATAATAAAATTAGTTTTATTGGGTGAACGACACCCACCGATTTGAAGTATAGTGTCTTTAGTAAGATAAACGATACGAAAAAGTATTAAGTGAAATTCCGAATGAGTCATTTCTCGTAGCGATCAAATCCGATGTGCTGTGCTCCAAACGCTGAAAACCAATCTTCACGCTATACTATTACATATCGCCAACCAAAACTTCCTTGAGTTACTCACGGTCCCAAAGTGCCTCGATGACAGGGAAAGACAGTTATTAGCGATAAATTCTGTGGTACCATTTAACAATAATATTATGTTGCAAAGCAAAATTACTTCGACGTTGCGTCGGTGGCACAGTGCTTAGGACTCTCGCCGACCATGCACATGGTCCGGGGTTCGAACTCCTACCGACGCACACCCGATATCTATGGTCGGCCTGCAAAATTTGGGCTACCGATATCCATGCTGAAAATGTCATACTTGTACTGAAAATACGGTGTGGCATCAAGCTGTAATCAAAATTTAAAAATTTAAAAAAATTAAATTAAATTATGCAGCTACACAGATCCAATGCTCTCTCAAATACAAAACAAGTACTATACAACAAGATTGTTCAACCGAAATCAGCTATATGAAGTATCTGAGACTCAAGAATAATATTCTCAACAAGATAGAATCAAAAGTTTGTTAGCAAGAGTCACACAATAAACATTCCCGTAGACAGTTCAAGGTTAAATTCTCCACTGACGACCTTGACTTCATTCGAACAAAATTATTATCATAAAGCAGTACATTATCAACATTATCACCACACAAGCTGAAAGAGAAACATTTAAATTCGGGATTCAACAAGAACAAAGACAATTAATAAGGACTAAGCCAAAGGATGATGTGAAAATACCAGGACAGTGAAATACAGCCTAGGCGAAAAACCGATATTAGTTATATACTTAGCTGAAATACCTAAAAAACGCCAATATTGTAATTAGGTCGTTCAGGAGAGAGTTTCCAAGTAGTTATTCCCCTACATTTCCAACTTCTGAAAATAGGAAAATACTTCGCTTCAATAGGAATTTTGGTTATTCTCAGCATGGATTTCTTCAGTCTGATTTTTTTTGATTTTTTTTATTACAGCTTGATTCCACACCGTATTTTTGGTACAGGTATGGAATTTTCAGCATATGATATCGGTAGCCCAAATTTTGCAGGCCGACCATAGATATCAGGTGTGCGTCGGCAGGAGATCGAACCCCGGACCATGTGCATGGTCGGCGAGAGTCCTAACCGCTGTGCCACCGACGCACAGTCATAAGAGTATTAGAAATCAAGGACCATTAGATAGTTTTTCGTCCAACTTTCTCAGTCTATATTAGTACTCATCCACACCCTACCAGAGATTGGACAAAAAGCTTTAGGTTGCCAGGCCAAGACGTTAACTATCTAATTAACAGGTATGAATTCAGTGACTCATGAGTCAGCTTTAAACTATCGCTTTAAGAGAGAGATGGTTGCATGTGCGTAATGCTATAGAGTCTTAGATTAAGACAGAATAACTCTATAGTTATATGGGGTTTTCACTGATTCTGTGTAACATAGGTTTATGACGAAGTCTTCATTCAGTTTCTAAGACTAAACTTGTTGTGATTTTTATAGGTGACATTTCTGATAAGCATTTCATGAAATATCAGTCCAAATGAAATATGGGATTTCACTCCCTTTAAAAGTGAAATAGAGGCACTGCAAATCTTATTCTTCCCGCTTTGACGAAGATGATCAAGGGAACGCGTTGTATGAGAATTAAGGACATTAGTAATTCAGAGTAAGTGTAGACTATGCAATGCTGTTTAATAACACACTTTGTACGTTGATCCAGTGAGTTGTACACTGTCATTCGTTTGCTTGGTGAAGTTTTCAATATTTCTCGTCTATAGTGTACACAAGTGACACTGGGTATTCATAAAATTACATAATTCACAGCTTATAAAACTTTCATCCGTACGATTACATTAAAGCTTTATTTCAGATACAGTCGATATTTCGCTTATTTCTGTAATTTTAAAATATGTTGAGATGTAAACAAATTCACAAGTATTTCTGCTTCTTCTGTCATTCTCTTCAGCAATTTTGCAAGTAGGTTTTCTATTCTTTCGGTTTTGTCTTTCTGGTTAGGTGATTCGAAGGAAGATACAACCGAAAGAACAGAAAACCTACTTACAAAATTGCTGAAGAGAATGAAAGAAGATTCCGTCATAACACCGGAGGTTTATGAGCAGATAAAACCATGCAGTTCAACTATTTCTGCTTCTGTCTGTATGCGCAGCCAAAGAACTGGAAATGCGTTTCAGACAGCCTATGAAATTTATGATTTATAATTACTATTCGGATCTTAGGTAGTACTCCTTTGGTCTAATACACTGGTAAGTTGTGACCTGTGAAGCTTACGGATAAAGTATTTGAATTTAATGTTGAATGATGAAGGATTCAGGTTCTGGAGTAACATGTTTTTCTCAAGTTCTCAAGTATCGTTTACCGATGAGTGTTAACAGCTGTTTGTTCATAGTTTGCTTCTTGTCGTTGTTCAGCAGTGAGACCTGGAAACACTAAGTCAAAGAGTTTCAGGCTGTGGGACGAGCACGTTAAAGTCCAGCTACTGGGCTGGAATCCGATGGCCGCTAAAATCTGACTCTTGTCAGTTCACAAAATGGGACCAGCACGATTCAATATCATCGCTTAGCATCTGTTCCTACACTATATTTGATGAAATCTACCCACATCATAACTTCGCATCAAAAGTCCGGAGCTCTGTCTCGAAATTAGTCACTAGTGTGCAGTGGGCTCACTTTTGGTGGTCGCCTCAATGAAGTCAGTTCATGATACATAATGTCTTTTAAACCAAAAGCTATCGCCAAATTAAATTTTCACAAATAAGAACAAATTCTCGACACCAATTATGGCTACAGTACAGATAGAAGCTTCATCTAAATTTTGTGTGAATTTCATAAAGAAATTACGGAGTCTTTTTCAGTTCCATGGATTTCATATCTAATTACTATTCTAACTACTTAATTGGTAGATGGTGACTAGCAGTGGAATCCAGGATGCGCATTTCGTCCTATTTGGGACTAGTCATCTGGATGTGCCTGCATTTCTCAGTGAGTGATGATGTTCTCACCTAGGCTCGAACCCAGCGCCCATAGTTTCAAACTCCAAAGCGTTATCCACTAGACACTGAGTTCGAGCCTCGGTGGGAACATCATCACTCATTGAGAAATGCAGGCACATCCAGATGATGAGTCCCAAATCGGACGAAATGCGCACCATGGATTCCACTGATAGTCACCATCCACCAATTAAATACTAATTAAAAGCCCAGACATCGTCGAAGCATCTGCTCAAGAAGCCGACATATCAACCTGAGACCGAGCACTTCGCTCCGATCCATCGACGGGAAAATCTAAAAATTCAATTGTATACTAACTACTGTTCAGCATATTCGTTGACTTTAACCAATAGAATTTAAGAAACGTTTTTTGAGTGTGTGATAAACACAACATCAAGATTTTTATTTTTTTTTTTAAATAGACCAAAGAAGTAGGAGAATAAGAAAATCAGCTAAAAATAATCCATCCACCAGGTTAAACCAATGAAATGCATAGAATAGATTCAGAGAAACAAAATTATCCTTACTATACTATATTTATCGTATCGACGATAGTCCGTCAGTCTGTATGTAACCTTCTTCACTAATATGATTCACTGATAACACCCACTCATACAAGTGTACTTGTGTGTTACCATTAGGCGATGTGTATATAAATATGCACACGAGGAATTATTTTTTCACAATATACATATATTGACTAAAGGAATCAACGTGTCATAAGTGACTAACTGTTATCCTACACCATATTGTCTACACAAGTCGAGCATTTCACAGAATAATCAACCAGCATACAATAGACGAGACGAAGTATTCATTATGAAAATTTTAGGAATATTTTTAATCGCAGCAGTATTATTGAATGGAATACATTCCGTTAAGAGTAAGTTATTCCATTGTACTTTTATTTTTGTTAACTATTTTAAATTGTTGTGTTAAGTGTTCATATGTATGGGTATTCGACTGATTTCAAGATAGATCTGATTTCGTACTGAAATTATATTTAAAGAACTAGTAAAAATAATAATTCAAGCGTGTTAAAGTATAGCTCCTCGAGCGAACGACCGTCGGAATGACCACGAATAAAAAAATCAGACGAACCTATGGTAAAAACGTGTAATTTGAAGGGAAAAAAGTTGTTATTACAGGGTAGCGATCTCTGAAACTCTCCAAGAATGTCCCCCAGTTTCTGATAAGAGTCCTTATTGTTAGTCCAAATCAATTTCAGTACATGAATTCATTAAGATGACTGTATTATGAATGATTGACGATTGCCGACAATTGCCGGTAAGCGCTTCATACCCACAAACGGCCTCTGCAAAGTCATTATCCTAGCATATATGCATGTATTATTCCTTCCTATAAGTCTATTATTCGGACAGTACTGAAATATTAGATGTGGGTGAAACCGCAGCTAAATTTTCGCACTTCATCCATACTTGTACGTTTTAACTATGGGCTCATCTATTTGGTTGCTGAATTTCATTTTGATGGTTGTTCGCTTGGGTCACTGTGATTTATCCCGACCCTTGAGTGTAGTAAACCGTCGTTTTTGCATAGTCTGTAGTGCTCATTCCACTAAAGTTTGAGCCTCAAGCAGATTAATGGATTAGAATCCCTTGACCTCTAATTTCTAAATGGCACCATAGGTGAGCATCGTGAATGAGTGTCATACACGATTACGTGAACCCCACTCATCAGGGTTTATATTATCTTTCTAATATAATGGTAAATGATGTCACTTATTTATCAACTAACGGCTCTATTTCGATACGACAGATACTTGCAATTGATATCGGTAGCTAGAAAATAGTGTTTACTAACTAGATCGAAGCAATCTGAACTCTGGATGGCTGTTTCGCTTGTCTGGAACCGACCTAATCAGTAGTTTACTTGGTTTGACTTAGATCGTAAAGGCAAATCATGTATATTAGATTCGGCTCCGAGGAAGTCCTTTACATATATGAGTGGAAATACACTTTAAATTGAAGACCAACTGACGATGCTCCAAATTATTATAGAACATTTGTGTAAGTGACTGAATGACCCAGCTGTGACATAAAAATGTTAGTTATCCTTATTAAATGAGGCCTATGATAGAACAAGATAAATACCTCAAACTATGGTCACTTGTAATAAAAGGAAAATTGTGAAAATAAACAGTAATATTAAATTAATAAATAATTATCAAGTTGACATGTATTAACAAGAAGTCCTAAGCACAGAAGAATATTTATTGAATCAAGCCTGTTATTAGCCTGGGTGGCTCATTGGCTGCAGCAATTGATATACAACCACCAGGTCCATGATTCGAGTCCTAATTCAGCCTGAACAACTTAGTAGTATCATCAACTCTCGCACAAGTGTGGCTCATAACCTCGTATATGAAAACTTTGTTCTAGATCGAATGGAATTCGGATATGAAATAACGAGTTGGACATCTGTTGGTGATATGGAGAAGATTGTGAGAGTTAAAAACGAAAACTTGTAGGCAGTCGTGGATCTGGAACCGGGTGTAACAGAGATGTGTCACTAAGACCGTATATTCTACTAGGAACACAAGGAATGAATAATAATATGAATATCCTTGTTAAACAAGAAATTGTTTACTCATTTCACTAGCCTAGTAGATAAAGCCTTATCTTTTGAAACGATGGGTGCTAGATTCGAGTCTCATTGGGGACAGAATCACTCAATGGAATGCAAGTAAACCAGCCTGAAAAATCCTAAACAGAATGGAGCACACCTACTTGAATCCATCCACTAATAGCCACCATCAAACAGATAACTTCTAATCATTTATTCATTTTGCATGAAAAGTTATTGACGTAGATATTCATCTCGCTTATTAACCAGTACACGAATATGTCATAGAAATGTCAACATATCACTGCATAATTTGAAATCCATTTACTTAATATGCTCAAATTTTTTTAAATTGTTCCTTGATAACATCACTTTATAAAGTAGGAATTTATCTATGATTGATTTAATGCAGTTACTGATGGTATTTCTACGATGTGATATGATATGATAAGTAAACTTTACTACGATGTATATTTTATCTACCCATCCACTAGTAAAGATTTTGTGGCTTTCAGTCAACATTTCATTGAGTCGTTTTTGGTATATGATACTACCATTAATATAATGATACAATTTGTATTCAGCAGTTGAGGTAAATGTATAAAAAGCAAAAATAAGAGAAGTACGACACACTGGAACGCTTGTATTTTTATACTGATAGATTGATAATAACGAATACATTTCAGTGTAGATTTAGTTACGGACCAATGACTATTGCAGAACCACTAGAAACGAAGTTGCTTCATTCGAGTGCAGGACTCTTCAGCAGGGTGTGATCGAACCACCAGCTTACGACACCAATGTGTTGAATATTCAGCCACTAACTTGTGTCATTTCGCAATACACTCCTGCAATCAACCAATGCTATCCATGAGCATTATTCGCTTTATACTAGATATGATGGAGAATACTGAAAAACCTAACTAGTTAAATAGTTATGCATAACTGAAAGCATGTGAATCTACCCGGCTTACTTTTGACCTACTTACCAAATCAATATTACTTCATTATCATATCAGCGTAGAATTCTGCACAAATGTTTATTACGTCAGGTTACTTTACTTCGAGAAAGTTCACAGCAAACAGAAGAACAGAAAAATAATCGTAATAAAATCGGGAGAAACATTTAAGGGATAGAAAAGTTCAATAAAGATCATCGAAAAATTTTAGGAATTCGAAGATGAAAAGTCACTTGAGAAGACTGACATTTCTCGCCAGATAACTCCCTCCCTCCAACGATGATTCTTAGGTTTTTGAAATCCACAGTCAAATAACCTACATTTTCCTAATTTAATTAGATAAAACAGTCACTCTGAACCCTTATACACCTCCGGTTTGCCTCAGTCTTTCTTTAGTCAACATCGTCTGCCGAGGAAGATTTTGAGTCAGCCAGTGTACATAAAACTTGTATCAGATACTTCAGTTGATTACAGTAGAATAAGTTCTCTAGATGGTAGAATATCAACTCTTGTAAATGCTTTTCATTTATTCTGACGGAAAAGTTATCATCTATCCCCAACGGCAGTTTTTCATAGAAACTATAGATGTGTGTCTTATCACAGCCAGTAATGAAAAACTACCGTATTTAAACCACAAAACACTACATCCCAATTTACAATAGAATTCATTGTTGCATTATCTCTCTGTAAATCACTCTAGTAGTCCAAATCGTCTCATAGTGGATTTGGAGACAGAATCCACTTGGATACAAGTTACGCTCGGTTTTCACACCTTCACTATTATTAATATCCTTTTTCATGTCATTAGCGGTATATTCGAAAAATGAGACTGTCTTATGTGTTCTAGTTTTTATTTGAGGTTCCATTCACAGCTGAATGAATACCAAGATGCTAGTGATATATGCTCAGAAGCAGTATGATTATGGAGGTGTGGGATACTTTTTACTCATTGTGGAATTCCGGGAGTTTTAATATGAGTCATTTCTGGGATCAGTCCTTGGTGCGGTTGCAAAACAGGATAAAAGAGGTTCCCAGAAAGCCTTAGTTTTCAGTGATTCTCTATAAAATATAATTTTTTTTCATTACATTACACTTTTCATGCAAGACTGTCTAATCACTGAGATTTCATTATCATTGCAAAGAGATAATCTATCACTACGAACTTCACAGTAAAGTACATTCGAAGTATATATTCAAAGTGAACTCTTAGTTTACTGTAGGTGTCAATGGTTTTTATTTATGATAATTTGCAAGGGATAAACATGAATAAAGTGATTTTAGCCTGATATATTTACACACTTCAGTTTCAGTCTACTGAAATTATTATAACTTGTAACTATCAGCTTTCCTATAAGGTAGTGCACCCTTTGTAAAATGTCTAGATAAATGTTAATTTCGCCAACCAATTTAAAGGTGAATTATTTACTAGCTGAAGAATTTGCAAAATTCTAGAATTTCGCCATCAATTTAACTAACTGTTCAATGAATGCTTACAGAATTTAAAATTAAACTTATAACTGAAATGAATTAGCAATGCCTAAGGTTGCAGAATTTTTTCAGCGTGAAGAAACATTTTGCTTTCTAAAAGATCAAGTTACTCAAATGAAATAATATTGAGTACCAAGGAAAGTTTAATCAACAAATTATTTTAAGGCGACATGGTTTTTCTCATCGCTTGAATTTACAGAGGCATTTAAATAAGTGACAAACATCTTTCACACTCCCCAATGTCACTTATTTATTCGATGACCAAACTAAGATAAGAAAAACAAAAGATGTTAAGGAATGATCACTGGTCGGAACATTTTCTTGTTTTGAACACACCTGACTATTTTGCAGATATATCGTATTACTCATTGCTGTAGCTTTATTTTTTTCTTAAATGCGAACAATGTCATCGAGACGTCAGTTTGCAATAGCATCCAAATTACACTCGTGTTACTCATAATTTTCATTTTTGCTATACTGGAGCGTGATGACTTTATTACTGACAGCCTAGTTTCCAACATGTTCATCAATCTAGGAGAACTTCCATGATGGTATGCTTTTGGGCCGGTGTTGGATGGTTCGAGGTAGTCGGCAGGAAACCCTGTATCAGGGTATCGCATTTACTGACATTTTTCAGTGCGGTGTAACTGCTAACTCAAAGTAAAGCCCCCCACCGATCGCCTCCACTTCCCTAACACTTACAAACTAAGGAGTGTTCGTATTACCACTTGTAGAATATATGTCTGAATTCACAATGCTGAAATAAAATTTCACCAGTCAATTTAATAATGCAACACAAGAAAACTATTTCACCAAATGTTCAACCTAGCTACCACCTTTCCGCGCAACTCATATGAATGCGAGGGTTTAATTGCAAACTCTATAACAATTACATGACTCAGTGACACAATTTTAAATCTAACAATGGAGGTAAACTGATACAATACGGCAGATATGTATTACTGACAACAGCAAAGGAATCTAGGTTACGTTGAACTTTCTTGCCGGTCGATTCTTGACATGTTACACAACTAGATGATTGTAAATGTTTATAAAATTGAGATATTCTGGTCAAAAAATAAATATATTCATCGATTTTCACGCTTAAGCATGTTGGTATTGGTAATCAGGTAGATAACTACTAATTAAAGTCATGTCCTTATCGAAAATGAATTCCTCTATAATTTATTTCTACGAACGCTAAAATAAACCTAGACATTTGATTTCTAGATTATTTCTCTTAATTTTTATTATATTTCAGCTTGAGATATCTTCATATCTAGGTCAGTTATCCTTTTAACTGGACTAAAATAGCTTAAGGATAAGCATCAGTACAGCTCTTTTGACTGCGTTGCAATGACAGTTGAAGCGTACTAAACTAAGGCAAAATGTGTACTGACTACTACTGACCAACACACATTATATTTGAATCAATAGCCGTTTGAAATTTCCCCTCATAAAACTTTGTTTCTTTAATTAATACGATTATCATAATAATATTAATGAAAATAGGATGATATCAGACTTCAATCGCTTTTCATTAACTGTGTCATTTAAGGACATGACGTAGGAATACTAATTCATCTATTAACGGTTTCATTAATCCTATCAAAGTTCAGGTATTTCGTTCATCTTATTAGCATAATATTCAACTTCATTTATAGTAGATTACTGAAGCTTAAAATCCATGCTTTCGAATTCAGCTGGTCTAATTTATATTCATATATTACTGAAACTGGACACACAGGATTCCCTACTTTGGTCAAAACTACTCGCGTACTATTAACGCTAGGAAAATTGCAATTTAGTTATTGAGTTCCAGTAAGTGACAACACTGGCATATGACAACTAAACGCAATTTTAAGCTTGATCAAATTGATTTGTAATTAACTCTTTATTCATCCAAACAGTTATAATATTTCTGTAATAATGAATAATGTATTATGTGGTATGAAAAATGTATGTGTACTACATACCATAAAACTTTCATAGGATTTGTTGTCTTCTAGCAGGTAACCAGCTTAATCTACCTATCCATATTTACTTAGTTGGAATTAAACGGAATTCATAATTTACCATTTGGTTAGCAGTTTTTAATCAACACAGTTCGAGTAGCGAAATTTAACCGTAGTCTTCTTCGGAAACCAAGTTATTCAGACCGGAATATTTGATCTGCTTTACACCATAAAGGTGCATCGGTGGCACGCCGGTAGAATGCTTGCCAATCAGGCATTTGGTTCGGCGTTCAATTCCCGCCCGTCGCACTCCTTTACCTTGTTAAGCCAATAATAAGTCTGATAAAGAGGGAAAGTTTGACAAGAGACTAGCAACCCCATCCCGTAAAAATAAACACCACTGCTACCGAAACTTCTAGCCTTCAGTTTGAAACCCTATGTTCCACTGGGAGCGTAAAGGAATAAAAAAAATACCATAAAGGGGAATCAAGAAAGCAAACATAGTGGCATAAAAGCACATACTACCAACTGATCTAGATGAGTAGTTGCTTGCCGCTCATATCAACCAGCAGTAGTAGCGTTTAAATCATCTCGTTCTGGCTAGCAAACACTACTGGTTGACATGAGTAGTATGCAACTGCTCACCATAGTCAATTAGTGGCATATACTTTTAAGTTAGAATTAACTATTAAGTTTTAAATGTTTCTATGATCTGATGTTAAGTAGAGTAACATCAGTGTTTGCTTATCGTTAACAGATAAATCAGTTATATACAAGAGAAGATAGATCTATTCACCTCTGTAAAGGGTAGATTTTAATTTATCGGTAGTGAGTTTTATGTTGAAAAGAAACTGCATAACAATTTTCTCCCTTACAGAGTGGTATATCTACTGCGAAAGAGAGAGAAATAAGTTATCCGAATCAATGTTCATTGCGTGTTGGAAATTGAACAAATAACAATACCGGACTAATGTATATATACATATGTATATATTCCTACTTCTAAATACTGGTTAGCTGTGTAGTGAATTAGTTAAAAATAGTAAAATCACGCTATCTACTTTTTTTGGTATGCTATCCTTTCATGAATGTATTCAGCTAACCATCTTCTTTTGTAGCTTCACAAGAATGCTATTATCATAAGGAAATAGATTTATTCACCTATTTGTTTACTTAGTTTTCACAAAAACACATTAAGCGTTGAAAGAAATGTTTATCCTTTACTATTTCTACAAAAATGCCCACTTTTTCATTAATATTTGCAGACTTCATATAAAAAAGGCTATAAGAACGAAAAATACTAAAAGCACATAAGGAAAATGGGAAGAATTAGGCATTCCACTTCTTGCAGTAAACAACCACTTGTGCCAGATTTGCCTTTTCGTCACAGAAATTAATCAAAGTTCAAAGTGTGCTTCATTATTGTTACTATTTTTTTGAGTGAATAAGAAATTTATATCGATTAATAACTTGGATTAAACCAGTTTAGTCCTGAGTGATACACACTGGTTGCATCGAAGTCACCAATCAATATAAACATTAGCATCCTGCAGAAGATCGATTGTAAGGCCGAATACTTTATTGGTAGTGTCTCTGACAGCAGGACTGTGTGAGGTCAGTTTGAATCTCAGAATGGACATTATCTCCTTCGAGGGTGTAGATATGCCTTGCTGATGACTACCAATAATCAAGGGAGCTAGATACACGGCTTCTTCACGTTTACCTCCAATTATCTCGTAATAAAAATTTAGACACCTTTCTGTGCATGCTACAAGAAAGAAAAAAGAAAAAAATACTGCACTGAACATTTTTTGTTTAACCGTCTTTTCAACATGGCTGGAATTTTACATCTTATTCTAGTCTACCAACACAGTCTGCCTTGTTGGGTACCTGATCTCAGTATGGTCAAAACATGCCTAATTAACCTTAATAAACTGACAAATGAATAAAAATAAGGAAGTATTTTCTTCTGTAGAAATGTGAAGAAATTCCTGCAAATAATTTACAAAACACATATGTTTAGCTTGAACCTTTCTAACCAGCTGTTAATTATTACAGAAAAATTTGATTTGTAAAACAGCTGTTTGCTAACTGTTTCACATTTATCAGTCCAGTGTGAATTTAATTAGGCTATCATTTATTGATTTAATGAAATGTAAAGCATTACGTGTGCCATTTAATTCGAGTGGAACACGAATGGGGAACGATGAGTTGGGCATTGATCTGAGAGTGACATGGAGGAGATTGTGTGGGGAGAAAATGGGAGAATATAGGCAATCGTGAGGCCAGCTGTAGAGGACAGCAGAGAATAGGAAAGGGTGGAGATGTTCTGTGGAGGCCCTATGTTCCACTCGGAACCCACTATTTGAATTCATTCTGTTTTCACAGTAACCTGAAGTGTAGTTATAATTTGCCAACGTTTGGTGAAGTAATATTTTTTTGAATCAAGATGATATGATTATATAAATAAATAAATAAAAATTGTACTCGGAATGTCTTCAAGTATCTATCTATTGCTATATTATCTTGTGTTGTCTCAAACAGATAGAAAGTGAGCTATACCATAGTAGACATCCTCAGCTCCTGCTGATGGCCAGAAAGGATTGACAATGAGGATTTCTTAAACAATGCAAAAAAAACAGATAACCTATCGTCCAAGATATATGGAGGTACATTGAATACATTCTGAGAAGACTGTTGAGTACCATCACGCGCCAGGCTGACCATCGAGTGGAACCCGACTGGGAAACGATAATTTGAGCGTCTAATGGTTACATGGAGACGATCGTGTGAGGAGGAAATAAAAGATTATGAGCAATCTTGGAACCAGCTGAAAAGGACTGTACAGAACAGTGCGAAATGCAGATGTGCTGCTGAAGCCCTATGCTCCACTCGGAACCCAAGGGAATAGTAATAGAAAATGTTACAAAGAAATTCTGTCTATTAATGCTCTCAGTCAAGAAAGAGGAAAACCAGTAATTCGATGCAAAGTAATTTTAGGGGAAAACTATCTGATATCTGGTCGCTTTTAAACCTAGAATTTAATAAATAAGCAGTCTGCCTGTGTGTAAGACTGATTTTTAAAATTAATCATAAACACAATATGTAAATTACACGTCAACTGTTGAAAATTTCACTATTTAACTTTTGCCTGGATTATGTCACGAAATAGTTTCAGTCATTATCCTGAAAATGTGAAAGTGTGAAGTTTTTCAAGAAAATTTAAGTTTTAATTCATATTCATAAACAAAAGAATGTAGAATAAATTAACAATGTTTGCATTTCTTTTTAACAGATAAAAAGGTTAAATGCTATCGATGTACAGATTGTCCAAATCCATTTGACAAAGAATTAGTGACTGAACTGGCCAATTGCAATTACTGTCGAGTAAGTCATTATAATTATTATCGTTATTATTATTATTATCCATTCCTTGCTTTCCGAGAGGTGCATATCGTCTCCATTTCTCGGTTCTCTACCACCGAATTCAGCCGGAATCATTACTACAAACACGCTTTCATTTTCACCTCACGTGATCTTCATTTCCCAACTCATTCGCGTTCTAGTCGATAGCCTACCTGATGTTTGATGTCACCTTAAGGTCTACCCAATGTGTGCTCAGTCTACCCCCATTTCCTCGTGATAAGTCGTTGAATGGTTCGTTGCTAGAGTTTTTTGTTAGGTATCCCTTCTGGTTGGCCATCTGATCTTCATTACCAAGGAGTTATTCTGAAGATGATGTTTGCATTTCAGAGTGCTAAGTTCCCTCATAAAAGATATTTTGCATTTTATTTTTTCCCGGTGTTACACAATTAGAAGTAAGAAGTAGGAGATTGAGGCCGATTTTTCCCAAAATATTTACTCCTTTCTGATGACCAGTGAAAAACCAAGAAGCATTAATTAACTGCTGTGTTCCAGATTGAGACTCTTTAACAGATTTCTACCAATAAATTATATAAGGCTGGATTCCTCCGTGATATAATAGCTCCGATTTGGAGTAAATTATCACATCTATCCAGTGGTATTAACAAGTATGCTTCCTCATATTCGGAACAGCTGTTTGGTAATGCTTGATTTCTAGTGATTCTATGCCTTTGTCTTCATTAATTAGCATTCAGTAAATATCTTTATACTTTTTAAAGTTAAAACTCTGTACTCTTCTATAGTGAAATAATTTGTATTTCTAATAAAATCAAAATAATCTGTTATTGTTTTAGTAAATAAAGTATGCTGTACACACCTCGAAATCTCACCTTAATTTAGTGGAATTCATTTGCTTAGTTTAGGTTATGTAAGATGGTATTAAATACTGAAAATGACATCTGTTTGTTTGCACTAGCTAATTAGCAGTATGTATTTGTCGAGTATGAAAAAATCTGTGAACTAGATCCTTCATGAAAATGAAAGAACTGCTCATCACTCCTTGTTTTTCTGTGGTTTTCCAACTCAAATTCACTTCGGACTAAAAACAAACAGTTTTAGAAAGCATTAATGCTTTGATGGCTCAGCAGCAGAACGTCCGCCAACCACACATATGGTTCGGGGTTCTATCCCTGGCCGACGCACTCCTAAACCTCGCTAGGCCAGTAAAGAGGGAAGGCTGGGTATGACGTTAGTAACCCCACTCTGTAAAAGTAAAACCACTGCCACCGAGACTTCAAAGCTTTAGCTTGAAGCCCCATGTTCCACATCGGAACGTGCAAGATTAAAATTTTTTTAAATAATAATTTAGAAAGTATTATAAATAATACTGTTGGTTCATTAGCCTAAAGACAGCCACCTTCATAGATTATGTAAGGTCACTTATAAAACTTATTGAACTGGGAAATTAATCGATGAATAGTCCTGAAATTGGCAAAGCAGATTTGCAGTTCCTTTAAGTTTTCAGTGTTTGTCTGTCTTCTTTCAATCACAACAAGGAATACGCTGAAATGTTATCAAATTAGGTAACGAACGTGAGTCTTTATGTCTCTGTCACCTTACATCCTCCACCAGACAGTTCAGTAGAAATTATCGCACTAAGTTTATCTATGATCCAGTTTTTGATTCAGTTTCACTTCTGGAATTGAATCTCTGTGTAATCTCAGTTACTTTTGTCATCTACTTTGTCGTATGTAATTTCGTCGTTTCTACTTGTATTAATATTTAGAATTTTAATTGTTGGTCACACTTCATTCCACTTTATATTTGTTAGTATGATGTATGTAGACCTTGGCAGATTATCTCATTATCTCATTAAACGATATTTATGGATATATATGGAAAAATCAGGAGTTTAGTGGTCATAAGTGTCGACTTAGTGGCAGTTCTTAGATGTCTTTATAATCTCTGAATAATTGGAAATGTTATAATGTGGTAAGGTATCAAATGACTAAGTGATTAAATTACTGATATTCTCTTATGATTTGTTTAATCGTGCGCAAGATCATACACTTGGGAATCTTTACAACGACCATTAGTATTCTTGTTTCGTCAGTATGTATGGGTCATAGGGAACTTCAAGTTGCCTCTGAAGTTAGACGTAGTTTGTGTTCTAGCAGCCGGTTCTATCAGTTCCAATAAATTGAAGTCATCAAATTGTATTAACGTTAAGACTATGTTTTGTATATTTTTGTTCAGATGTCACACTATTGTCTTAACTAATGTGCTTGAACGCATGAAGGATGATGTACTTTAGGTGATTTGGGTAAAGTAACTCTGATGACTTCATAAATTTTAAGAAGATGTCAATTTCCATGTCTGACTTCACTCATCCAGCTTTTTATTAAATCTTCAGAAATATCTACCTCTAAACACCTCAATACTGAGCAGTAAACTTTTATGCAGTTGGCTGATTTTGACAAAAAAATGAAGTTTTAGACAACGTCGAACTGTGGAAAAGTCAGTCTTAGGCATGATAACTCAAACAGTCACCAGTTTTCGCTTTCTGGAGCATTTTATCACGTAAAAAACAATCGAAAGTTTTTTCATGAATGTTCAGTACTTCCCTATCTGATTTTAGTTTCTGCCAAAATCCACCTTGATGATATCTACTGTTTCCCTGCATAGTATCGTTGTAATAGGGACATTTCATAAATCTAAAGTTTAATAGTGTTGACATATACACAGATCAGAGGAAATAAAAATGAATATTTCGTAAAATTTCTGTCTGTCCCACGAATGGTAGACTTGATAATAGATTCATAATTCAATATGAATCAATATTTTTAACTTTGTCGTTTGAGAAAAAAACTACTTTTACCCATTTTTCTTTGAGAAGGAAAACTTAGTTTTTCAAAAGTCTAAAAGGGACTGAAATATACTCTGAACGAATGAATTCAGAAAAATGTCAAATTTAATTATCCTTAAGTATTATTCCTTTTAGTTAACAGACGTCATAGATTTTGTACATTATAGAACTTTTGACTTATTTCTCTTGCTTAGATAGAACGAATAATGAAGAGGCACTACTGAAATATGATTGAAAAAATAAATTCTCATGAGTTAGTGTATAGGGACCTGATTTGTCTACAGTTTGACCACAGATTGATGTCAGTTGGAGAACCATTGGAAACCAAAGACTACTGGACAGCTGTTTCGCCAGCCTAGTTTAGGACTCATTGATAGTAGTCATCAACCGGGGTTCGAACCCAAGGTTTTCTGGTCACGAGGCGAGCTCGCAGACCATTTAACCACTGGGACGTGACTAAGTGGCCCATGAATTCCAGCTTCTACCAATTTGTAATTTTAGCACGACCGCCAGACAATTTCATTGGCGAGTATTTGTCCTCACAATCGACAGGGTGGACCCCAGTGGTTACGACTTCTCACTAGTACTCCAGTCGGCTTCGTCCTGTAGCTAGTCACTAGCGTGCATCAGATTAATTTTCGTGATTTCGTTTGTGGGAATTTGGTTTGCTTCGAGTATGATTAAAGATTCATGTCACGAATTGGTAGAAGTCGGAATTCATGGGCCATCGGATTGGTTCGCAGTGGCTTAATGGTCCATGAGATTTCATTATAGGTATAATAAATGATTGTCTTGGCTAATGTAAGACAATTTAAGACATAATAGGTACTTAATTTGTTGGAAGAATTAAATTTGTCACAGGCACTACCTAATTGGGCAGTCAACATAATTACAAACGGACAATAACATATCATTCATTTAGATGAAAGTTGAGTATTTCCCAAGATGATTTTCGAGAAACGACCATCTGGTGGTTATCAGTTAGATCTTGCAGCTCAGCTGGTAGTGATTCATAGACTGCTAGTTCAAATCTTGCTATGGACCCTGTTTATCATTCTCAGTCGTCACTCAAGCGGAACATAGGACTTCAACAGTACATCTCTACTTCATTTTGTTCTGTGTAGTCCCCTTTAGCTGACTCCAGGATCGCCCATAAGCTTTCATTTCCTCCTGTACTCTGTTATCTGAACTGCAGTACTTTTAAACCGAGTTGGAAGCGCTTTATTTTGGGGGGGATTTAACTAATTCTTACCGTAATAACAACTGACAGTTATCTCCTTCTTTGGGACTTCACAGTCATTTGCCAAATCTTACAGCAACATTAATAAACGTGTTATATTCCATTTTATTGATATCACAGATGAAAATTATGATTTTAATATTTGAAATAACCGAATGTATCGTCATTTTTCTCCCTCATTCCCTTTTTTTATCCATTTTTGTAGACTGTTTACACTTACCGAGATGAAGATACTTACAGAATTGAGAAGGATTGTGTAACCAGTTGTATAGCACGAGATCGTCGAAATAATAATGTTGGATTAGTGACTGAATGCTGCGATGAAGATTACTGCAATTCTTCACCGAAACACATTTCCACTTCGTATATGATTATTCTCAGTGCTATACTGACAATTTACACTGCTAACAAAATATTCTAAAAAAAACCCCGTTTATTACCCTTTCTTGTTTTGTTTTCTTTCTAGTTTGCTGGTCAATTCTAAGCTGAATTGTCGTCTTTATGGGTTCATATTAGATTTATCTCCCATTTCTACTATGCTATGTTGTTGTATGTAATATGTTGAAATCTCTATTATGAGCTTATTATATATATACTTCACAAGCTACAGCATTGCTATTTTGTTAGATGACAAGAAGTAATTACAATTTTTAAGAAAAAAGATGTATTCATATACACCTATATATATAAATCCTTGAGTGCTTGATGGAATTTTTGACAATACGACAGGAATCCTATCTACTTACTCATCGTTCCCGTTTTGTAATTATATCATACTTTTAACACTTATAAAACTGTGTATTTCATGTGCTTGATTCATTAAAAATATTCTGATTCTTTTTGTGTAACAGTTGTGAAGTTGTCGTTTGCTTTTGCTTAAAGACAAACAACCCTGCATAAAACTTCAAGATGAAAGTATGCGTTGAGCATCAGTCATAAATGTGTGCATCTCTCTGACGAGGTATTGGTTTAACTAAAACAAAGAATAAAAGAAACATTGCAGAATGTGAAAACTTCTCTTATCTCAATATTATTCGTTTAACCAATTTTATGTAATTTATTAATTATTAAATTTATTTACTAATTATTTACAGTAAAGAGATTTAAATTCATATCTTTTTGTCTTTTGGATGACATATATATGTTATTCAACCTATCGCTTCATTCTTTCGCCATTACCACTTATCAGCACATCACTTGACTTATTACATACAAATGCGAACCTCAGAGGGGAAATTAATTCGTTTTCTTTTAAGTTTGGAGACGTACCTTGTCGACAAGTGCTACTGAACACGATGACTAGGTCTATGGCTTTCTGCCGATTGTCTTCAACTACCTAACATCAATTTAAAGTTACCTAACTTGGTGACCATATTAATTGCGAACCTGACTGGTAAAATTCAGTCAGTATCAAAATTAAGGACTAAACATTTGATGTCCATTACTGTCTAGCAATCAATCTGTGCTTATTACCTAGTTCCATTACTCAGCAAGTACAGAGATAGACTTCTTACATGCTATTCGTGAGTTTTCTAATATATTATATGCTTCGCTTTACAGTCATTCAGAAAAGTCCAGTCTCCACTGATATTTCGCGAAGTTGGCTGAAGTCCTTCCAATATCCAAAAAGATCTTTTCAGTAATATATATATATCCCTGTGTTGTCCTAAAGAATCCACTCTTTTCAATACTGTTTAGCTTCCACGTTTACTTGTCCATTCAAATTAGAAGCTTCAGTTTTAAGAATCACTTATCTGTACCGTGTCTCTACCACATTTATCAAGTACCCCCTGATATTCGGTGACTTGTTCATAATAATATTAACAATAACAATCAAATTGTAATAAGTTCAAATACCTGATTGTTACATTTACAAACTGTCTTAAGAATATAGAGTAATTTCCCCAGAAACCTGTACCACACTTACTGCAAATTAAAACCCATCGACATCATTATTTTATCAACTTGAGTGAGCAAACAGGTAGAGAAAGATTGTACATATATTACTTATACAAACGTTACTAATGCGTGATCCGTTCAAATGAAAGCATCCTTGTGACTATATTTCCCTGCCCGACTCAATGCTAAATACTGACTATCCGGTTGTAAACCAGTAAAAGTAAGGTGGTTGGGTGTGAAGCTAACAACCTACTCCAGGAAAACAACACCACCGCTAATTAAACTTCCCAATTGGGATTCAAAGAATGAAAAAATACTTTAAAATGGTTGTGAGGTCAAAGTATTAAGCCAGGCGATATCTAGGCTAGTAAACGCCACAATATGGAAAAAACGTTGACTATATGTCTGCATTCAGTGGCAGACAACGATGCAATAAAATGGGAGAAAGCAATAGTACTAAAATGTTGTATAACATAGTGAGGGGGCTGAAAACTTAGACTTTATTTACCGGATCAACTGAGAACACCTGATTTTCCCCTTGTCCTGGACATCTGTAAAATTCGACTACCCACACGACAATGTGGAGGAAGAATGAAAACTATAAAAACCAACTTTTGAATTTGTTTAATTACAGTCTATCCAGTTATGAACAATAAATTGTGCTCGAAATGTCATTCACTAAACAATACTCTTTCGCATTATGATTTGGCCAATAAACAAACTAATGTGGAACTACAGGTTAGTATGCTACAACTATGCAAATATTCCTCAAGAGCAGCTTACTGAAAATAACGAATTTGTGAAGGGAAAAATTAGTGTTAGATATACATTTCATTCTTTGACTCAAATAGTCGATTAAACTATTATTTTAGATGTGCTGTTGAAAGTGTTTAAATTAATGGTTCACTCTTCTAGCTAAGTTAGTAGAGCACCAGACTAGTATTTCGGAAGTCATTTGGTTGGGTCTTGTAGCAACCTAGATTTTCATTTCATCTACAATTATTTCTCCTTACTTGGTCAATTCACACATATCGCAAAGCGCACTTATGAAGGGGCTTTGTAAACAAAGAACTTAATTCATCAAATAAAATATAATGATTATGAGATCAAGTTACGAATAGGAGAGATAAATTGTGGGCAAACGTAACATAAAAATAATATACATGGATAAATTCATATAATGGAAAGACAATCTAGATAAGAGCCTAACCATTTGTAATATGTAGACTTATCTATAATCGGATTACAAAGTTAAAGGGAAAGATACATTTCAAATTCGAAAATAATCCAGTGAAGAGAAAGGAAGACCGATCGTTCCATTCATCAAATCAGTATGTTATAAATGCTATACGAATGACTGGATACTTTTATTCTTTTACTGCTAATATTAGTATGAAGTACAGTACCACAAAAATGAAATTCAAAGTCAGTAAAATTTCTTTGGTGTACTTAACCTAGTAAACTCTTTTAGGGATTTCCGTGTTAATTTAGAACAACTTATCGAGCAAGCAATATTTCTTTCGGTAAGTGGACTATATAAATATAGATATTTGGAGGTCTACTTAAATCACTGGGATACTTTAATTTCCATCAAACGTAATGTATCGAAATTTTTCTGTCTCTTATAGTTCTGACCATTCGGTTATGTCCTTGGGTTGTAAAATGTACTCACGCACACTATTAATTGGCTTCAACACACTACTGTGCGTTTCTCGAAAAGACGAAAGAACGATATCATAAAGGCTGGGTTTTCGCTTCAGATCGAACAGCATCAGGTCACGCAATATACTGCCGGTTACTGTTTTATTTAAAGATCCTGAACAAAGAGTAAATATTGTGCCATAAAGTACGTTACGAATTCTGTAGAGTGCATAAACCCGGCATCCAGAGTAAAGCTGTTATTCTGAATGCGAAAAGGAAATTACAGAAAATAGTAAATTGTTTTAATAATAATAATATATTCTCATTTGTACTTGAGGGACGCCAGTTTACAGGCATCATCAATATGATAATTACATATACGATTAGTAAACATATTTAATAACAGTAATTTAATAAAATACATTTTTTCCTACCTGTGTAGGACACACCAATCTTAGATTTCCCCGTCGATTGACTGAACCGAAGTGCTCCGTCGCATTCTTGTGCAGATGCTTCGACGATGTCTGGGCATGTAATTAGAAGTTAACTGGTGGATGGTGACTAGCAGTGAAATCCAGGATGTGCATTTCGCCCTACCTGGATTCCACTGCTAGTCACCTTCCGTCAGTTAACTTCTAATAGTAAACTGTACTCAAATTGTATCTTCCATTTAGCAGTGATACATAAAAGTACATAGAAAAAAGGCTTGGCAAGATATAAATCATCTAAATCGTGTTATGTATTCGCTCAACAAATTAAGCGGTCTGATCACGCTTATGTTTGTCATAGGAATTCATACGGAAAAAATGACAAAGAGTTAAGGGGTAAGAGAATAAACATAGGTCAAGTTAAACTGTTGAAGGTCAAAATAACAATGCAGGTCAATAAACAAAAACAGAGGAATAATAGTACATCTTTTGCGGTATCAAAACAAACTTACCAGAGAAGATTTAATGCGATGACAAATGATTTTTAAGTAACGAACGATATATTCCCGTATTGAGTCACATGAAAAAGACGTAAACAGCGAAGAAAATTTTCTTTTCGACGATTCATTTTCATAAGCTATACAATCTTAATTATATTTAACAAAGAATTCATAATACCATTCGGATACTGGTGAAATTTTCCCTCAAACATGTATTGCATAATGTAAGGTGTAATCTAGAAGGGGTGACTAATTGGAAATTAGAAAAGCGGCAGAAGTTGGGATAACGTAATAAGTGGGGGAAAATGACTAGTCAATATAATTGTGTAAAGTGAACAAGAACTAGTGGAGAGACGATAAAGTGTCTTTATATTAAATCTGTATACAAACGCAATATTATTAATAAACAGTAGTAGAGTGACACTTAAATAAGAATGATGAGAATAATAATGATAATAATAGTAAAGCAAAATTGTGGTAAGAACATTACTCTGACCACGGTAGGGCGAGTGAATGTATGTAGTGCTTTTGAGTACAGAGATCCGGTTTCGGATCCCGATGATTCATCTATGTACAGATAGCGTACTCGAAGTCCTTTCGTAGGATAAATAAGTACATAAAGTGGTTTAAACATTCAGATTGCTAGGATTTCAGCAAACATGGCTTGCCCTCAACACCTCATACAGATAAGTTTAAAAGACTTGCCAAGACTATTTTATGCCTTGTTTTTATAATTTCGAGCCTAGTTGTCTATTTTCACCAGTGATAATATCAGGGGATTCAGTATGCATCTAGTGCGTCGGTGGCACAGCAGTTAGGACGCTCGCCGACCATGCACACGGTCCGGGGTTCGATCTCCAGCCGACGCACTCTTTAACCTCGCTAAACAAGTAATAGAACTGGCAAAGAGGGAAGGTTGGGCATGAGGCTAGCAACTTCATCTTGTAAAAATAAACACTGCTACAGAAACTTCAAGTCTATAGCTTGAAGCCCTATGTCCCACTGGGAACGTGAAGGAATAAAAAAAATGCTTCTGAGTAGTCTTACACTCATCATTATTCATATGACCATAAATTCACATCCATATTAAGTCCTCCTTTATTAAAATGAGTTCTCTGTATCTGCAAATTAATTTAAAACCATCGTAAATAATGCAAAAGAGGAAATTCACAGCATCTATCCTAGAATACTAGATGACTTCACTATCCCAAGTAGACACTTACATAAGGGGGTAGAGTTAGAATGAAATTTACTCACATATGTAAAAGCATAACTCACCCTACGTGTCTATTTTATTTTTACTCTCCACGCTTTTTGTTTTTTTCTAATCTCGTATCCACTTAGAAAAACTAAAGCTTATAAACAACAATCAGATGTTATAAAATGTAAATAACCTTAAATTATTAGACAGCCAATCACAATAGTCAGATAAAACTACTCAAAACGCTATTATGATTACAGAGTATAAATGCAATCTAAAAAATATATATTAGATTTTCACACCTGTTATTCTCCAGACAACATTGAGTACTAAAAATGAGAACATTACAGGCGGCATACCTGGTTCTCTTAAATTGATTGTGTCTAATTAAGTCTAGTGATAATGAGACCACTTGTTTTTGTTTCCTTTCCAGGGAAGCTAGTGCATTAAGTCCTATCGCTTAT